CACACACACACACACACCCACGCCACACACACACACATACACCCACAACACACACACACACCACATACCACACACACATACCTACACCACACACACACATACACCCATGCCCCCCCACACCCTATGCCACACACACACATACACCCCACACCACACACACACACCCCACACCACACACACACCCCACACCACACACACCCCACACACCACACACACCCCACACACACACACACACACACACACACACACATGCTCACTGGGGAAGACTCTGTTTTCCAAAAAGGGCCATAGGGATACGTCTGGTCCCACATCCTCTTCCAGGACTGCACCTAGAATTGGAACCCATTTGTCCTCCCCTTGAAATCTGGGGGCCTCTGTGGCTACTTCAACAAACACACGTCACTTCCAAGGCCATGAAGTGAAAGCTGATAAGGCTTCCCTCTCTCTCCTTCTGCAGCTCCTCCTCCTCCTCTTTCTTAGCCACTGTGCCACCAGGGCTCCTCTTGGTCTACACTAAGTGCTTAATAAATGCTCTCTGGATGAGCGAACTCTCGCTCCTAGGCGCTCTCTAGCATTCGTTGGGGGGAGTCCCTGATGGGTCAGGTATCTGCCCTTCCACCCCCACACCCATGGTCTTACCTTTGTAGATTCCGTTCCACCCCCCCAGCTGGACACGGCCATCTCTCGCCTCCAAATGTCCTCCGTGATCAGACGTAAAATATGTGAACGTTGAGTTCTTCAAACCATGCTCTTCAATTGCATTAAGAATTTTACCTTTACAAAAAAAAAACAAATGTCAGGACAATGTAAACAAAACAAAACCCAGCTGATGCGGTACACTCCCCTTTCCGTACAACTCACCCCTTGGTAGAAAGTCGTAAAAAGAAACCACAGTCCCCAGAAGACCATCGTTGTCAGTACAATCACAAAGTGTCCCCCCCGCCCCCCGAAAACAAGACAAAACAAAAAATAAACCAGTTGTCATGGAGTCAACTCCACTCATGGCACCCCCAAGTGTGTCAGAGTAGAAATGCACCCCATAGGGTTTCCAGTGGCTGATTTTTCAGAACCAGATTGCCAGGCTTTTCTTCCAAGGCACCTCTGGGTGGACTCGAACCTCCAACCTTTCGGTTTTCAGACAAGCATGTTAACCATTTGTACCACCAAGGATGCCGTTAACTGGATACCCAAAACCAGAACCAAACCTGTCGCTGGTGACTCCATTTCAACTCATGGTGCCCCCATGTGTGTCAGAGTAGAACTGTGCTCCACAAGGTTTTCAATGGCTGATTTTTCGGAATGAGATCGCCAGGGCTTTCTTCTGGGGTGCCTCTGGGTATAACCAAACCTCCAACCTTTCAGTTAGCAGCCGAGTGCGTTAGCCTTTCTACCAACCACAGACTCCTGTAAGGTGTTCAGAGGTAGCTATTTATTCGGAGACCACAGGACTATTTACAAAAATACCTCGTTGACGTCGAGTCCATTCTGACTCATAGTGACCCCATGTGTGCAGAGTAGAACTGCGCTCCACAGGGTTTTCAATGGCTGATGTTTCGGAAGTGGATTGCCAGGCCTTTCTTCCGAGGCATCTCTGGATGGACTTGAACTGCCAACCTTTCAGTGAATAGTTGAGCATTTAACACTTTGAGCCACCCAAGGCCTCCTATAAAGACACCACAGACACAGAAACAGAAGAGACTCATACAACTAATCCTTCACAAGTGGGGTGTCACTGTGTGCACACATGTCCCCAGTAAGTGCAGAGGGGAAAGTGTTGGTGAGCACAGCAGAGATCCCTGCCAACGGGAAGGAGCTGGGCCGTGAGCATCTGCGGGCTTTGGCACATGAGGCTCCAAGACATAGAAGGGACAGAGAACAAACCGCAAGCAAAGCTTCATCCGTGGAGACCCCATGCACACTTACATCAGGGAAACTGAGGGCTTTAAACCACATGGGCATTTGTAGCCCCGAATGCAGAGTTCTTAAACTGAGGGCCACCCTCCTGTCAGGGGGATCAGTCCCTGGAGAAGGACATCATGCTTGGTAAAGCAGAGGGTCAGCAAAAAAGAGGAAGACCCTCAATGAGATGGA